ACCGTCCTCTCCGCTTCCGCTGCCATCCGTTTGATGACTACGTGAAGCTCAGCCCCAAGAAATTGAACCAGACCATAGGGGGCCGGGCGTGGCGGTACTGCAGGGGCTCACTTGAAAGGTAGAGGGGCACGGCGCATGTACGAGGATGCTTAAAATAGGGACGTCGTGCCAATGCCAGTGAAGGTGTCGAGGTGCGTGCTACGTCCCGCGCGCTCTCTCATGCACGCTCTCCACCATAGCTATGCGTCAGGGTGTCGGCTCTAATTTTGTGACTACTGCATGAAGTGTACAAGACCCAGGCTTTCGAGGCGGACAAGGCCACGAGCGTGGGTACGCGAGGCCCACGAGCACACAAGCACCCCGCCGAGAGATAGACCGACCACTGCACCAGACCGACCTCTCGCCCCGCCCCCGACACACGACCCCTCTGCTCACCACCCTGCAAACCTAGCAAAAGGGACTCAGGCTGGCAGTGGGCTTGTGGAATCGCGCATGCGGGCGAGTATCTCCACCGCGGTAAGCTCGGCGGAATCGCGCTGGCGCTTCTTTTGCAGCCTTGGCGAAGCGCCCTTGCTCCAGTCGGCCGGCGGGGGCACAGCGGCCGACGCTTGGACCCGAGTCTGGAGAATGCCCATCGCGCGCTCGTGCATAACGTGCATCTCGCGAATGTAGCGCTCGAGCTCCGGGCTACGGCGATTGGACTCGTCTGTCCAACGCGGCCCGGATTCCGCCGGGTCCTGCGCGTTGGGGCGCTCAAAGCCCAGACCGAGGGCCATCTTCAACTGAGCCAGGGGCACTGGCATGCCTGCCAGTGCGATGACCTCGCGACGCAGCGCCGCCTGGCGCACTCGCTGCGAGTCGAGAGGGACCACGCCTTGCATCGGATGCTGTCCGAGGTTGGGCATCGATCGGGGCCAGTGCCTGGGGGGGCGCAATTTGCCGCTCCCCCCCATTGGGTGTGGCGTTACCAGTTACGATGAGGACATGGCCTGTCCCCCTCACATCTCCTGTTGGAAACAAGGAAAATTCCGCGAACGAACGATATCGACAGCCCCCCCGCCCGGATTGCGGAACCCGGGGCAGGGCGCTACATGCATGTACAATCATGTAGCCAAAACGCAAAGCAGGAGATTTCTCCCCCCGATAAATTAGCCGCGTCTCGCCCACCGCGCACCGGCCGAGCGGCACCGCCAGGGCCCGAGGGCCGGTCGACTCGTTGTAATCGAGCATCTCCGGACACTCCGCGATCCAGTTCCGGACGCCGCGATCCAGTATGCCTGCCCTGCATTTGGAGCCAGCGCCGCACGCCAAGCCGCAAGACAACCCAGCCTCCGGCACCTCATTCCCCGGAGCCTCCCTTCTCCGCCCTCGCCTCGCGCGCCGCATCAGCGAGCTCCCAGAGCCTGACACACGTCAGAGAGGCGCGTGAGGCCTGCTACCCACGCTGGCCCGCTACCCTACCCCTCGCCCCCCCCCCCCCCCCCTTCCCCACGCCTGCCACTCATCCGCTCGAGCCGCGCCTCGTCGCGCAGAGTCAGCGATGCGTCGCCGACGGCCTCGCCCATCCCGTTGAAGTAGTGCACGCCCAGCTCGGCGGCCCGGCCTGTGGGATGGGTCGGGCCCACCGCGGCGCGCAGCACGACGGCGGCGGCGGTCGCGGCGTCGCGCATGAAGAGCGGCAGCGCGTACCGCTCGAGCGCGTCCGTCAGCCGCGCGCCAACGCTTGGCAGCAGCTCCTCCCACTCAGCGAAAGAGACAGGCAGCGAGAGGGGGGGCAGCGCGGCGAGCGTCGTCGGCAGGTCGCGGTCGCTCGCTGGATCGCCTGCAGCACGCGCCGGGACTGTCTCATCGCCAGAAGGGCTGGCGGGGGCGGTG